ACTGCAAAGTTGTTTGAATCTCAAGCTCACCAGCTGCTCCTCTGAAACCTTAAACAGGGTCACTATGGGTCAGAACTGACTCGATGACACTGAACAGTAACATCCGGTTTATGAAATCCTTGTGTAGTGCTGTAGGATAAGCAATGGAATGCTAACCACAAGTTAGTTGCAAGATTCTCATTAGCACAAGTAAGTGTTTTCAAATATCCATTCTTGTAAATATCATCAATAGGTTGTCATGATCTACAAATTCGAAAGTCTTTGTATAGTCAATAAAGTACAGATAAACATCTTTTTGGTATTCTCTGTTTAAGCCAAGATCCAGTTGATGTAGTAGTCTGAAACGAGCTTGAACCTCTGGCAATTCCCTGTTAATATACTTTTGCTACCATTTTTTTATTATCTTTAGAAAAATTTTACTTGCATGTGATACTTATGATATTTTTCAGTGATTTCTGCATTTTGTTGGATCATCTGTAATCACTTGGCTGTGTAGCCATCAGTTGGCCAAATTTCTTGGCATACATGAGTGCCTCCAGTGCTGCATCAGTTTGTTGATGTATCAGTTTGTTTAAAGACTCTAATTTGTATTCCATCAACTCCCAGAGCCTTGTTCTTTGCCACTGCATTCAACGTATCTTGTACTTCTTCCTTCAGTACCTATCAGTTCTTGATCATATGCTACCTTCTGAAATGGTTGAACCTTGACCATTTCTTTTTGGCACAGTGACTCTGTATTCTTTCCATCTTCTTTTTTTGCTTTCTGCATCATTCAAAATTTTGCCCATAGAATCCTTCTATTTGAAAAGTTAAGGCTTGAAGTTTTTTATTCAGTTCTTTCAGCTTGAGAAATGCTGAGCGTCTTCTTCTATTTTGGCTTCCTAATCATTTGGATCACTGAACATTTCATTATAATGTTTGATTTTGTCTCCTCGAGTTCACCTTTGAAATTTCCTGTTCAGCTTTTTAACCTCCTAATGTCGTCCATTTGCTTTAGCATCTCTAGGTTGAAGAGCAAGTTTTAGAATCTCTTCCAACATCCGTTTTGGTCTTTTTCTTCTTTATTATCTTCTTAACGACCTTTTGCTTTCTTCCTGTATGATATTCCTGATGTCATCCCAAAACGTTCTGATATTCAATCATTAGTGTCTAATGCATCAAATTTATTCTTGACATCATCTCTAAATTCAGGTGAGATGTGTTTAAGGTAATATTTAGGCTCTCGTGGATTTGTTTTCATTTTCTTGCATATGAGTCTGTTCCACAGTCTGGCCGTAGCCTTATTTTAGCTTTTAAGATTGAGCTTTTGTACCATCTCCTACAAAATGACAGATGCAATTAATTTGATTGCTGTGTATTCCATCTCATGAGGTCCATGTGTAGAGGCATCTTCTATGCTGTTTAAAAAAGGTATTTGCAATGAATAAGTGATGAGTCTTAAAAATTCTATCATGAGATCTCCAGCATCGTTTCTATCACCAAGGCTCTATTTTCCAACTAGTGATCCTACTTGTTTCCAACTTTTGCATTCCAATCACCAGAATGCATACTGAAAACCCACACCATCTTAAATTCGGTACTTAAGGCAGCTACACAGTCATAAGTATGAAATCAAAATGTCAAAAGTAAATGAGAAGAACTTGTAGTCAAAGAAAAGTAAATGCACTGAATTGGCTAAATAGTTCTCTTCCTTAGTCAGATAAGGCAATTTCTACCATTTTACTATCAATGGGTTTTTTAATTTGTTGGTTTCATTTTGTTTTTTCACTCTCATCAAAAGTGGTATTCAAGAGAACCTGCTTCAGTGAGAAGTTATTTTCTTCCAAATAAATAGTTCCAACAATAACAGATATTAGGATAGCATTTATAATGACAGTTCAAATGAACAAAATTGCTTGATTTACATTGTTTCTTACCTCATATGTTGCAAGTCGATCTAAATAGGTTAATAATTTTAGTCTGCATCGGCAAAGTTCCTTTTGTTCCAGTGTTAACCTGTTTTGAATGATAAATTAAGTCACATATTTTTAGATAAAACATGTTTCTCTAAGAATTATACTAAAAGTGATTAATATTCCATTGAGCCCACAACTCACAGAACACTAAGAAAACCACAAGTATAAAATAATATTAAATGCATGTATGATCATGAAATAACTAAAGCAATTACCCGCAGCAAAGAACACACTAAAATGTCTAGTAATTTTAAAGAAATGACTTTCCAAAGAGAATTGTAATAAATTATTTACTTTGAAAAGTTCACTAATTTAAGTAGTTCTTGTCTCTTCCTGAGCTCTTTTTCTTTTTGACTCATGACAGACTCATTTTCTTCAGGTGAAAGCTCCTCATAGGACATGTTATCAATGTCTACTTCACCAGGTAATATAAATCTGTAAAAAGAAAAAAAAAAAAAAATCAAAATCAATGGAAAAGAATTTTTTTTTAAGTTCATGCAGTAAAGAAGTGATATCCCCATTTTGACTGGTGTTATTATTAAAGCAATTTCCCTAGAAACAACTAATGATTAAAAAGAAATTTTTACTATTATAAGCAAAGTGATTACATCCACCGCCTGAGTAAAAAGTGAACTGTAATTATCATAGATAGAAATGAAAAATTCAATAAAATAAAGCCTATTTAGGAAAAGATGTTGAGTTACAGTCACTCTGTAAAGCACCAATGCAGAAAATGTTGTCAACAGTGTTTATAATTTGAATCACTTCCTCTGGAGATCTTACAACAGTAATGAATGTCAGTTTCATCTAGATTATCTATCAGATATAGTACCACATCTATTTCAAAAGATGTTACAAATGGCTAGTGAGTAATGGCTCTTATCAAATAATTTTATTATTATTATTAACTGATGTTTGTATGGTGCTTAAAAGTTTGTGAGATGCTCTCACAAGATATATAATTGAATCACTCACAGTAATTCTGTGAAAAAAGTACAGTATACAAATGAAGAAAGTGAAGCTTAAACTTAACAAAGGTCATCATCTGACTAGTAAATAAACCAAATTATCTGCCTTTAGTGCAGCATGTAATAAAAGAACTTGATCTTTCCTCTGAATCAAATTATCACATGCAAGCATATTTAATTTACAGGAAAGAATTAATCAAAAGGAAGTGCTTAATAATAGAGTAACAGAAAGAAAATTTACCCTTTGTAATGTCTCATCTCTAAAATATTTGTTTTTCAATCCAAATGTTTCTATAACCAACCTGCCATCATCTGTTCCTTTCCCTATTGCTATAAGAGCCTCCAGGTCAGTTCCTTTTAAGCCATACTGAAGCAGTTCTTTTGCAGCATCCACATTTTCAGGGACTCTTTCCAAACACTCATGAAGGACCCAGGATCGTTTCTTTATTTTACTCTGGATACAGACAAAACCAAAAAAAGACATTAGAGAACCCATTACACACTGTGACTAAAAGAAGAAGATCCTTCATACATTGGGCAGAAAATGTGGAACAAAACTCACAATCATAAAAAAGACCAGGATTACTGGTCAGACAGAGACTGGTGGAACCCTGAGACTATGGCCCTTCATGACACTTGAGGTCTGGAACTGAACTCACCCCCATGGCTCCAATGTTCAGCTAACCAATAAATAAGCAGGTATATAAAGGGGACAACTACTAGTCAGGTATGTAAACCAAAGAACTGTCAGCCATTTGACAACAGCAATTACTT